CTGAGCAGATTACCAGATCCGGAATCTGCCAGTTCCCAAGGAAGAAGGACCCTACAACACTGTGGCGAGTCTATATGATGACAACCTCCCCCCCCCCAACATCGCGAGACCTATGGCCATTTACTCAGGTGACCGTACCAGTGAAACAACTAGGCATTTTGATGACAATTAGATACAGGTCTGAGTTGACACTGATACAAAGAAACCCAAAGTGTCATCAAGCCCCCCTTTACAGGTGGGGACCTTGAAGGGCCACAGGGGCTCACAGCCACCCAGAGGTCCTTTCCCCATCCTCAAGCACATAACTGAAATTAATATATGTGGCAGTTGGAGTAAAGCCTACGTTGGACTCCCAGTCTGTGGAGTACGAATGATCATAGTGGGGAAGGTCAAATGCTAACCTTTAAAACTATCTCCTACACATACACCTAGCCATGTTAGAAAATCATTACTATTTTCCAGGGGGGATAGCCAAGATCAGCTTAGACCATTAAGGACCTAAAAAGATGGAGGGTTGGTGGTCTCTGTCATGTCTTTACTTAATGACCCAGCTGGCTCATGCAGAAAAGTAAAGTAAAAGTAAAAGTAAAGGAGAATGACTCCTTCAGAGTTAGCCAAGTAGGAGCACCAGTTCCAGCTGCTAGACGTGTATCTGTGTTAGGGTGGGTTCATTGGAGCTCAGGTATCCCATGTGCAACTATTGATCTGGCAGATGCATTCTTCTCTGTCCCATGAGAAAAGAAGATCAGAAACAATTCATATTCACATGGAAAACAATATTCCATTATCTGCCCATCTTACAGAATGCGCAAGGACACATCCTCATATGGGTTACCAAAATGGCAAGCCAAGTCCGTGCCTGGTCTGGTCACGGAGTCTGGGATGCGATGTTCTTGTGGGACGCAGGCTTTTTTGTACCAATTAAGAATGGAACAGCCCCTAGGGCAGTTGATTGCCCAGACTTCAACAAGAATGAGCTCTATATTTAGTATCAATATGGAATTAATTCTGGAGACATGGGAAGCACAACATGGATAGGTGAGCTACACTGAACTCTTATCACCTAGCCAGGAACAACTAAATGTCTTGCACAAGGCGATCAAGAGCAGAAGTGCCTACCTGAGCAGCTACTTCAACGACCACTATCAAAGACCGATCAAAGATCGTCGCTTTCCCTGTCATATCCATAAGCTGGTTCAATTATCAATGGCTTAAAAAGCTACTTCATCAGTAAAGACACCTAAGACAAAAAAATACAAGTAGCCTCTGAATTTTTCAACCACGTTTCCTCTTCCACTGGTAACTCTGAAATGGAAAACGAACTGTTTCAAGATGAACTCTAGACTCCACCTTTGTGACTTTTGGTGACCAACCGGATCCTCCCGCTATAGCTACCTAAGAAAGCTTGGAAGGAGCCTCTGGCCCCAGTCAAGCCGTCAGATGACCAAAACCCTGGGAGAGACCATAAGCCAAAAATATTCACCTAAACATGAATCCAATATTCTCAGATTCCTGATTTAGAAACTAAGATGTTTTTGCTTGAAGCTGTTATGTTTGGGGGTAATTTGGCACACAACAGGAAATCAGGCACAGCTGGACTCTGTTCCTCTCTACAACAGGGCTCACGGAGCAAGAAATTTAACATTTATTTTTCTCTATAATGCTTTGGAAACTTGTATCTCCCTCCATGTTGCCTAAGGAATCCTTAGTGGGAGGTGATATCAAGGCTCCTACCAGTCTCAAATCTGCCTTCCTGGCTGCGATGAAGGCTGGAACTCTGGTCGGTCTCTCTGGCACCACGTGCCAGAGGGATACTGGCCAGCAAGGAGGAGGAACAAGGGCTTCCTGTCCCCACATTTCCTGTCTGTGTGAACTTAGCCGTATTTATTCACCCCAGCAAAGCAGAAGGCTTGAGTAGCGCTGTTTGATCTATAACTCAAATTCATAAAAACCTTCCAGGACCGGCATTGTGCCCTTGAGAGACACTAAACACAGGTCAATGGGACTCTCCTCCAAGCTTCAAAGCTCTTTAAATTCCAACCTCTTTGTTCCCCAAGACCTGGGGATGACAGCTGCTTCTGGTGCTGATTACCTCTGTGACACCTCAGTGCTCCCTTTTTTGTCTTTTTAGGCCTCCAGTACCCAATTTACATTTATATTACATTTTATAGGAAATGTTTCTTATATTAAATTTTACGTGTTAATGTTTATATTACATTTCCTGTTTATTTTAAAATTTCTCTTGCTAGTTTCTTTAATATTCCTAGAGCAACTCCTGGCAACTACCCCCCAAAAAGTCTCCTTTTTATGCTCAACTACTGTTGTCTCCTTCAATTTAAATGATAAATTAATGAATACACAAACACACACACACACAAACCAGTGGAAGACATAAAAATTATCTATATATTTTTATATAAATATATTTATATAAATATATTTATATAAAAATATATAGATATTTTTTATGTCTTCCACTGGTTTGTAAGCTGTTTATAAGCTTCATGAAAGCAGCAGTCTTGTTTTATCACAATATATGAGTGATAAACAGTGGTTGACACATAAAAAGTATTCCTTTAATACTTGCTCAAAATGAATGAATGATGGATAATTTCAGTTTTTGGTGGATCAGTACCTAAATTACACAAGCAATACAAGTCATTTCATCCTCAGACAGTGAATTCTCTTGTGTCTGATGAAGGTGAAATGATCATGGGACATCCTGTGTGGTAGGCAGAATAATAGCTCCCCAGAGATGTCCCCATCGAATTCTTGAGAACCTTCAAATATATTACCTTACATAGGAATAAAGACATTGCAGATATGATTAGTTAAGGATCCTGAGATGACATTATCCTGCATTATTCAGGTGGGCCGATGAAATCACAAGGGTCCTTCTAAGTGAAAGAGGGTTAAACAGGAGAGTCAGAGAAGATATGATAAAGAGAGGTCAAGGCAATGTGGCCATGAGCCAAAGAATGAGAGCAGCCTCTAGAAGCTGAGAAAGGAAGCAGATTCTCCCCTCTAGAACCTCCAGGAGGAACACAGTCCTTGACTTTTAGCCCAGGGAGACCCATTTTGGACTCCTAACCCGTAGGACTCTAAGACAAGAAATTTGTGTTATGTCATTTTAAACCACTAAGAAGGTGATCATTTTAATAACAGAATAGGAAATTAATACCTCTTGTGGAGAAGTCCTATAGGTGCCAGGTTAAACTAGCCTAGTGCTCAAGAGAGACAAGGGGTATGGGGATGGGAGCATCCGACTTTTTGGCTGGCCTGGAACAGCGACAGCTAGGAGCAGATGATTTCACAAAGGGGAGGGGTCAGAGGTGAAGTGAACCAGCGGTGTGAGCCCTCAGTTGCGCAGCCAAGACTAAGTGAGGTGTTAAGGGATAGAGCCTTTCCCCCACACCTCTAGTTTGTTCAACAGGGTTAGGTGGAGAGGAAGGCCACAGAGGGAAAGGGAAGGGAAGGGAAGCAAAGCAGGAGGATACACCAGAAATTAATTTTAGAAATTTGTCCACAGCGCACTTGAGGACAAATATCCCGCACACAGCACCTACCTTCACACAACACTGGCAAGTGAATCCTGTTTCCCTAGTATATTTGTTTTTCCCTATTCTACACCTCTCTCTCCAAATTCCCTATATCCCTCGCCTTGCCTCTGGCTCTCCAGTGATCATCTTGCCTCTTATATGTTGCGAAAAATCAAAGCAAATCAGGAGAGAACATCTTCATTCCCCCAACCCCTCAACTGCCTGAATGTTAGCTTTGCTATTCCCCTTTGAGGGGATATTTGTCCAGACGGAACCAAACCTCGTCCCCAAGACCTTCCAGCTGCAGCTAATCTAAGATTACGGTCAATCACGTCATCCTATTTTGATTCTCTGCAAAGCACATATCACCCATATTTGTCCGTCCTCCTCTTGTGGACGGTATTCCCCAGGGCCTGCAACACGGCCGGGCGCAAGGCAGGCACACGACAAATATTTGTTGAATAAATGGAAAAGCAACTACTGTGTCCTAGGGTTATGCCAATCTGTGAGTACTGCACTCTCTTCCACTGACGGCAAGATAGTTTCATAAAATGTAAGATTTCATATTGAGTACTAACCGGATCGGATGCACATTGTGCCCCTCCCCACCCCACTCCCACCCCCACCCCCACCCCCACCCCCAGCAACCTGCCTTCCTCTATTTCCCCATCGTTCCACGTGCAAGGAAAAAAAAAAAAAAGCAGCACGGAGGGTTTGGAAAACAGGGTTGTCACTATGGTCTTTTGCCACATTCAGCTGGCTTCCACGGGCTCAATGCGACAGAAACTAACAGTGGCACCGACGAAAAAGGGTTGAAGGTAGAGGACTTCACCTGCTGCCAAGGGCGCACCGCAGAGGACCGGCGCGGATCCCAAGCACTGCATGCTGGGAGCTGTAGTCTCCCGGGGAGGCCCGGTGCGGTAAGGAGCGGGAGGGGGCGGGGCCCGCGGCATGCTGGGAGCCGTAGTCGTGGAGACTCGGCCTCTGCGCTTCCAGCCGCGAGCTGGGGAGTGGGGAAGGAAGGGGGGGGTTCTCGGTGGGGGGGGGGTCCTCACTGCATGCCGGGAATTGTAGTATTTCTAGAACCCCGCTCCTGCAGTGTGAGAGGCGCCATTTTAGGTCCCGAGGTGCGGCCGCGCGGAGCCAGAGCGCAGGCGGGCTCAGCCCCGGCGCCGGCCCCGCCCCCGGGGCGCCTGGCGCCCGCCCCCCGCCCCGCTCAGGCCCCGCCTTTCCCCACGTGTCCGCTGCCGAGGGGAGGTGCCTGAGCCGGAGCGGGCCCGCCAGTGGTCCGGCCCCGTCGGCGCAGAGGGTCCTGTCGGCGGCGCCCGGGAGCGGCCCGGCTCCCTGATGCTCCCGCGCCGGCTGCCGCGGGCCGGGCTGTGCGCGTAGTGCCCGGGTCCGGCCCCTGAAGTGCCCGCGGGGGTGGGAGCGGCCTCGGCCCCGCTGAGACGGAGCGGCTGGAGGACGAGGCGGCGGCCGCGGGGAGGAGGATGGGGGCTAACCAGTTAGTGGTGCTCAACGTGTACGACATGGTGAGTGCGGCCCAGGCCGGCAGCCTCCGGCCGCTCGGCGCGGGGCTTGGACCCCCGGCCCCCGGCCCCCGGCCCCTGCGCTTCCTGCCTCGCGTCTCCGCCTCCAGCTTAGTTCTCCGGGTGGGGGAGGGGAGCAGGAGGCTGTTGGAATCCTCGCGCACGTCGGCGGGCGGGCAGCGCTGCCCGGTCCGCGCGAGGGCTCCCGCCAGGGCTCGGGGCGCCTGGAGCCCCGGCGGTGGCCCCTGCGCGGCCCGGAGCCCGCGCCGGGCCCGACCCCCGGGCGGCGGATCGGTGTCCTTCGGGCGAGGCTTCCGTCGGGGGGTCCGACCGCCCTCTCCTGCCGCCCGGACGCCGGGCCGCCCCGTCCCCGAGCACCTCTTCCTGCCCCGGGTCCTCAGGAACTCCCAAGCCCTTCCAAGTCCCGAAAGTCCCATCTGTCGGTGCCGGTGCTAGAATCTCGTCCAAGGTGAACGGGAGCCAGCACCCCTTTGCCTCCAGGGCAACCTCGTTAACGCGAACGAGGCTCCGGTTTAGCAAGCCCAGCTGAATTCTGTGGGGGGTCCTGGTGGGGCTCCTGCGCTGGCCTCTGAAGACCACTCGCCAGGTGATGCAACAGGTACCTGACGTGACCGCAGGAGAGGGAAGGGGAGAGCTTGTGTGTGAGGTCACCTAACTTTGCAGGACGGCCAGCCCACGGAACCGAGTCCCAGGACTGCTTTGTTAGAGTCGCAGCTGAAGTTCCCGGTAGGGGATGGTCCTGGCAGTTAAGATGCGAGCTTGGGTTTGTTTGCTTTCGCTTGATGCGTTTTTGCTTTGTGAGAGAGTCGCCTCTGCCTTCGAGGTGCGAAATCTCTTGGCAGAGGAAGAAGCCCTCATCATTTTTGTTGGCTTAAAGGTGCAGAAGAGCCGAAGTGCTAGATGTCAGAAGTCATGGTTCTCGCTCGCAGATCTGAACTTTTCATTCCCTGGCACTGGGTCTGCATTTCTAAATTTACCCTGTCACCTCTTGGGTAGAGAGGAGCTCCCGTGTCCTAATCTGGGAATTATGTCAGGATGGGCTAGACACTGCTGGGGACTTGAGGTGAGGTCTCCGTTGACGTGGGTTCTGGGTTCAGAGGTAGGTTGACACGCTGAGGAAAGTGAAACATGCAGAAAAAATTAGAGGCGAACTGGAGGGCCTAGAACAGCAGGGCACTTGGTAAGGTCTTTGGCCTAGGTCACGGGTTAGAAATCATTCTCTAGATGTCAACTTCTTATGGTACTGGATGCCTTTATTGTTCAAGAGTTTTTACTGCCTTTTTACTGTTTCATTGCCTGTCTCCACCCCCGTGATGTGCATTTGGTTTCTTGTTTATTCACGAAGACTATTACAAAATATCTCACAGCGTATTTTCTTTTGAGAGCGCAGTATGTTTTTTTCTTCTGGGTCATTCAACCCCTTTATAAATTAGGATTATGCAATGGCCAGAGGGTCGTAGACTAAAATCTGAAAGTAGAGGTAGAGAGAAGTTTGGCTTTTTAAAATAAAACTGCCAGTGCATTCTTTGGCATGTAATGGGCTTCCTTACACTTAGGGACTCTCTGAATCACAAAAAGCATTGCTAATTGTGGTGACTGTAGGAAAAGCTAGAGCTATTGGTGTTCCGGGTCCTGGAATGAGGTTATTCACATATTCCTAGTTTACGGGCACACGTAAACCAGTATATTTCAAAGGGAAGAGTGTTCTGAAAGATATTAAAAATATTAGCATGTCTTTTAATAAAGATCGTATTCCTTATATCACTTTTGTAAAGTAGGTACTTACAGAGGAGGCAGGTAGAGAAAGGGGTAAATTCAACCTGCCCAGATAACTAAAAATAGGATCTAGAATTTCTAGACTGCAGTCTGATTCATTATCTCCTCTACTGAATAATTTCTGTGTTTATTTCTTATCAATTGCTTTTTCCTAGCAATAGGAGGAGCAGGAGCATATGAGTGTCTGTCAGCGTGGTAAATAATTGAATTATTAGACTTCTGACAAACCTGCCCTTGCATGTTCTCTGGAGGGCTTTCAGGCTGTGGCTGTTTCCTGTCACTAATTCAGCAGCCTGCAATTATTGTGACCTTGGAGAAGTCACAAAAATGATTGAATTATCCTTTTTCCTTTGAGGAATTGAGACTCTCTTAGAGGAGGTACAACAGTAGTAACAATTCAGAACAAAGTAGCATGATTTTGATCGTGGAATGGCAGAAGAAGATGTGAAGGAGGAGACCACATGTGGATTGTAGAATTAGGGATTGCGGAGGGGTACCAGGACCTCTACAGGCAGAGAACAGTCAGCAGGAACAGTGGCGGGAGGAGAGCGCAGGTGGGACTGGGAAACAGCTGGTCCCCTATAACAGTGTAGCCTGCGTGAAAGAGACAAAACAGACAGTTTGATTAGAACTTTATTCGTCTGGGGCTGGGACAAGGGCTGAGGGGGGCCTGGTCTCTGAACCAGGGGAGTCATCTAAAGTTTTCATGGTAGGGAGCAGGGTGATCAGAGTTAGTTTTTGAATGAAGACCAGTGTGTTGAGGTAGAAGATCATATCTTTCAAACTGCTCTTTCTCAAGTTGTCTTGGTTTTGAAACGGTTCTGCTTGATGTCAAGGTCAGATCTCTTTTATCTTTGATTGTACTGCTCATACATCATAGGTGCCTTTGATGGGGACCGCTGTTGTCTGTGCAGGCCGCGTCTAGCAGAGTCCATCCAGACTAGACTTTGCAAACATCAAAATCAACCCCTGTTTTTCACTCATAATCAGTTTATAGGGACCCTTTGCGTTGTATCCTTGCGGCTCTCTGGGAGACTGTCACCTGCTCCAGCCTGGACTGCGTTTTTCCTGTCCCCTGGATGGAGAATTGCTGATCGTTTCTCTTCTTCCAGAACTGCTGCATGTAAGAAAGAAATCGTATCAGGGTCACCTGTATTAACTTCTTCTCATGGAGGGATAGGATAATCCTTAAAAGGTTACTTAATGTTACACAGTGCAGCTAAATTATTGCTTGCTGCTTTCTCAGTGATTATGTTCCTCTTTGTACTTTGGGGTAATCGGCTGCCAATAAAACATGGCCTGGGTTATTTCCGGGTCCTGGAATGAGGTTATTCACATGTTCCTAGTTTACGGGCACACGTAGAGCAGGTGATTCAGCTGGGGGTCAGGTGCCGGGCCAGTGTCTGGTGTAGGCTGTCTCCCACGAGGGCTTCATTTGCCAGAGACCCCGAATTTGTTCCATTTCGGATCATCTTGGCCACGAATGAAGTTTTACAAAATACCAACATGCAGTAGCACGATAATACTTGTAGATTCATTCAGTAAGCTGCTTTCTTCCTATTTTCAAATAGTATTTGTACATCTTCAGAGCCTTAATAGGAAAAAAAAAAAAAAGCACTAAGACTCTTCAAATAAGGAAGTTTGGGTCCGTATTTCTTTTGACCATCCCGCTTCCATCTGAGTCCTCCAAGAGCATGTGAGGGCACACGCGTGTGACCTGACTTCGCATGCATCTGTGCGTCTAATTCAGACTTTTTAAATGAGTTCCAGACGCATCTACATACACCCTTCACTTAAATCAGCGTGCGGCATGCTCCTTCCCTTCCCTTCCCAGCTCAGACGTCACCCTTTACTCGACCCAACACTGCCCACCCCAATCTTGGATTATAATTTTGTCTTGATGACCTTCTGCTTGGTTTCTCAAGCCAGAATGCTGAGAGTAAAACCACTGCTGCTTCTGTATTACGAGCCCATCAGAGTCCAGTTCCCAGGCCCCGCTGCTCGTAGTCTGGTTGATTCTGTCTAAAAGCAGTAGCTTGACCATCAGTAGCTTAAGCTGGAAGGATACTCCTCTTGACTCCAGAGATAAACGATCCCAGGTTAGTTCAGCAGCTCACTTGGGGGGCACCAAGTACTGAGACTTTCCATCCTTCGTGCTGCTGTCTGTCCCTCTGTCTGTCCCTTCCCTGTTGGCTTTTGTTCTGGTTTGTCCCCTCCTACTTGGGAAATGACCATCCTGGCACCAAACAGAACGTCCTCCAACAGGATGTGAAGAAAGACAGAGGCCAATAGAGCCTTTTTCTCCTTTTCACAGAAAATGCTTTGCCAGAGCCACCCTCCCCTCCTAAGGAATGGTCTGGAATGGGCTCACCTGTGGCTGTCGAAGCCGAGAGAGGGGCTAGCTGGCTTTCCTGGCCCGCCTGGTGAGCTGCGGCAAGGAAGGCAGGGAGCTGGAAATGGCAGTTAGCTGGAAGCCTGTGATGTCTGTCACATATTTTACCTTCTGAGTATTCCTTAAATTGGGGACCTTATGCTCATTTCCACTGTTGCATCTTAAGTTCGGGTCCTCGTTATCTCTGTTCATATAATAGCCTTCTCCTGGTTGCAGTCTCTGGTCTTCGTTTGAATCTCTCTCCTCTTCTGTTACCAAAGCAGTCTCCTGACATGTGAATGATTGTGCCATTCCTTGGCTTCACATTCACCTGCGAGGTAGAGGCTAATGCCCTTTATGATGTGACCCCTACCTGACTATTAGGGGCCGACCTCCTACTGGTCCCCCAATGGTTCCCACCCCAGCATAGACGCTTTATGCTCACATGATGGGGTTGTTCAGTTATGTGAACAGGTTGTACTGTAGTAGTTCATGCCGCAGTATCTTTACTCCTGTTGGTCTCACCTGGAATGTTCTGTCCAGCGGCCACCTCCCGCTCCTCCTGCCTGTACCTTAGCCCACAGTCAGCAGACTCGAGTGAACTCCTGTGCCCTCTTTGTACTTTCCACCTACCTTACAACAGACGTGTTATAGTTCCCTGCTTCCCGCTAGACCGGGTTCCTTGACAGCAGTGTCTAGAGCAGGATCTGTCGTGAGAACGTGTTCCATAAACATTTACCAAGTGGATGGGATTTCCAGTGGGCGGTTTTATTAGGAATGGCGCCAGTACTGAGAAATGGCTCAGAAAGGCCTTCAGATATCCCTTCTCTTTGGG